TGTGGCCCCTGTATTTCTTACAGCCGATGTCATGGGTTGATGCTGGGTTCCTAGGTCCTGGAGGTAAAGGTTTCGCATTCTCTACAGAAGTTCTTCGACCGTATTGGGTCCTCGCATTTGTATTTGCTTCTGGAGGTCCTGACTTAAACCATAGATAAGCGGAACCACAGATGTCTCAGGCAAATATGAGTCCGCCAGTTGTAGCAACCACCTTTTCTCATAAAAATAGCTGAGCGCAGATCCAGACCTGTATTTGAACATGATTGCTTTGTCCCATAGCAACACCTTGTTCTCACAGAAGGAGCTCAGAAAGCTTGCTTTCTACTCTATCCATGGTTTGTTGCTGTGAGCGTTAACACGCCATTCGTACCAACTCTTGGCTATGCCTGATAAAAATAATCGCATGCTTTTCACTTTATCTTCGTTGCTGTGCCAGTAGTTTTCATTGCATGCATACTTATAAAATGTTAGCCAGGACTCGGGGCTACTAGACTCTCCATCAAACATGTCTGGCTTCACTTGTTCGCGACTCGGTCTGCTTAATCTTTCTGTCGCATTTACAATCAAGTGCATTAAATCATTTTGCTGCCTATAGTGTTCTTGGTGCAGTTCAAGAAACAGTTCAAGAAACTTGTTGATCAGCTCGACGGAACTGTCAGACGAAGCAGCGGTAGCAGGCTTCACATCATTTCTTACTGGAGTCAGCACGAAATTCTCATAGTCTTGAAGTTTCATGTGGATTTTCACCGTTCTTTTAGCAAGTAAATGGTCTGGAGTGAGCTTCATTTTAGTCCTTTTAGTGCTTATATAAGAAACAAATGCGTCAGTGCTCACTGCTTCCAGAAGAGCTAGTTCCTCTTCATCTTGAAGCGTCGCAATCAAGATCCGGATGCCACCTCGTTGATTTGCTCCAATGGTGAAGTCCACCCACATCTTGACTTGAATGTTCGCACAGAAAGTACACGCGGCTGCGCCAATTTGTAATGATACACAGTTGCACTAAGCTGGGGTGTCAGCCATTTTCTTTATTTTGAACACCTCTTTCCTCTTCGTCTCCCTCCAACTCTGCCTAACGTCCACGTACATGTCTGTCATCTTTTCTTCAAGGCACTTGGCCACCAAAAATCGAAATAACTTTCTTGTGGATGTGTTTGTACTGTGGATGAGGTGGTACTTCAGTAATTACTTGAATTAGTGTGTAGAAGTGAAAAGTTGCCTCGATGTGGAAGCGAGACCGATTAAAGATGATGGACGCTTTAAAAGCCATAAAAAATTAGTGTGTTCAGCAACTGCCGCCCACCATGGAGGCCAACAAGGGGACACGACTCGACTTGTCAACAAGCTTGCACAACATCAGCCATACGCTGTCACTATAAGCAAATATACATACCCAGGATTGGATATGATACAGAAGGTTAATCCTAGCTGCCTGAAAACAAGGAACTAAATGGAAGAGAGGAGAAAACAGGAAACGATAAAAGTGGGAGAAAAAGACGAAGATGTGGGTAGAGAGAGATAAAGAAAGGCAACTGCGAATTTCCCTTAGGTGGGTCAGCCCAGGAGTGCCGTCTAAGTGAAGCTGGGGCCAAAGGGGTGTGTTCCCTTCACTGAGGAGGGAAGGGTGGCTTAAAGATCCAATCAGCTGGCATTACCTCAACCCAAGGATCCACCATTTCCTCTAACACGGCAAAGTCTGAGAGAGGGGTCGACCCCCCGTCCCTCTGTGTGTGGTGACGCCACTCACCAAATGCCTGCTTGCAAAGATGCCATTGTGAGGTTGGCAGAGGTACCAAGAAAAGTATTCAGATTTATGAATATTGAAATACACTGGCGAGTAGCCTAAATTACCGATATTGAGACATGCATTTGTCTGTGACAAGATGGAATATTCTGGTGATACTTCTGCAAAAAGACAAAAAAATATCTCAGAATACTGATACAGGAGTACAAACAATGGCCAGAATACTTTTTATTTTGGAGATGTTGTTCTGCAATGACATATACTGACAGCAGCATAATATTTTTAATTATGTTGCAGCGCATTGAAGCTTGCACATCAAGTGTATCAACTGAATCACTAATAACCACCAGCGAATTAAGTCAATTACATATGCAAGATGTCTTTTCCAGAGAAGGCTAGGCTGCTGGTTTAATTGCACTAGCATATTCTCAAATAGGCTTCTCTCTAAATAGCGTTGGTTTGGACATAATACGAGACTCGTGAAAGAAAAAAGTCTATCTATTGCTGGAGAAGAGCACAAGTTCATGTTATACTAAATAAGTACCATATGCCAGCAAGTCTTGCAACATTTCTTCTTGAGGCAACTAGATACTGAAAAAAAATTAGAGATGCTGCACTGGCCCTGAGAGACAGCGCCAGGGATCAACAGGGGCTGAAAACACTGCCTTTATGATTTTGCTATTAACAGTGTCGAGTGCTTTAACCACATGTGTGCCATTCCATGCATCCAGGAAATCCTTCACTGCCATCCCCAGCTCACCAACCAGCAGCCCGCTTTTGCTTGGCTTATCACAAAAAAGTGTTCCTTTCCCCTTTGAAAACAGGTTAGCTCATTTTCAACAAAAATGTACAGTAGACTCTCACTAAACGGAAATCTGTTAAACGGAAATGCTGCTTAAATGGAACTATTGCCTCTGCAATACTTGGTTTTGGGCTTGTATTCTGCACTCATGTTCACCTTTCAGTAAATGAAACTCCTGTTAAATGGAACATATTTTTCCTGTCCTTCAGGTTCCGTTTACTGAAAGTCTATTGTACTGAGATATCCACGTCCTGCACACTATCATGATACGATCGCTACATCGTAAAGACAATTTTGCTACTGAGACACAAATACATTTTTCAAATGTACTTCAATATAGAAATACAGGCACACAAGATTATACCTAAAATACTATCATGATAATCTTATTTTGTGATACAGCCCAGACATGATACACAGCTTTATTTTTTCTAAACATGAGCATCAGTTAACTAAGCAATCGGCTTGAACACCCATCAGTTTATAGAGGTAAGCTTAACGTCTCAAACAATGAATAAAGCAACTGTCTCTTCGTTACGTGTGTCACTAGCACTGGTCAAAATATAAATGCAAAAAAATACAATCGTAACAATCTCGCTTATGAATCAAAAAGCTGGAGGAATAAATTAAATATTTACACCAGAGTGATTGGTGCTACCTACAGTGCTGGATATACTCTTTTGAAAGCCAGAAGATGACAAATTTCACTCGTAAATAATGACGTGAAAAGGTCTGAGGTGAGCTTTATGTGTGCATTCATGTCTACTAGGTGCAATATAATGAAGTGCAAGTGTTATGCAGATGTGTTTTGTCAAATGAAAGGCTCTGACACAAGTGTATGTGCAATATGCAAAGACGTTTAGCTACGTGACCTCACAAATTTTCTGGTTTAAACAAGGACAATTATCTCTTCAGTTTTGTGACTCATGGCTCTTCCACATCTTATGAATTTCTGTCTTGTTTGAATATTGGCTTGCATTTAGGTTTTATAAATAAAACAACAGCTCTCTCTATATTATTCTCAGTCATATTACTCTTGCCCTCTCTTGCGGGTATCTAATGATAGCTGTTGTACAGTCCTCAGCATCTTTTACTCGAACGCTCTGACCCGTGGCCTCGGCTCGCTTGAACTAATGTCAGTGCCGGCAAGCGTTGACAATGATACACTTCCTGCAGTTAACGATAAGATGAAGCATGTGTCGGTTTCACTTGTAACTTTCTGTTTCCAGTCTGCCTGATGAGCGGGTAAAATCCACTCTCTTCGCATACCGTTTCCACCACGTTTCACTCGTGGCTACGTTATCGCGTGCATCCATGGTGTTTGTTGTCGTATACTTATCTCGACAATGAACCATTGCGTGCAATAGCTTCCGCACCTTTTACGTTTGAATTCACAGCTGCTGCTAAAAAAAAAATAACATGAAGACACCTATAACATGAATCACATCGACATAGATCAGCCTGAAGACACAGTACTGCAGAACACATAAAACAACCATAGATGGTCGAAATTTTCCAGAACACCTACTACGGCACCCACAGCCTGTGTGGCTTTAAAAAACTAAATTCCACCAAATCATACCACCCTTGCCTAAAGACTCAGTATTTTATTTGACAAGATGACACTTCGTGCTTTTATCTATGCACTGAAATTGCTTTCTTTTTGTTGTATCCACATGTCTTCCTTGCACAGAACACGCACAAATTAAATATTTGGGCCTGTGTACTTAAATTTAAATGCATGTTAAACAACCCCAGGTGGTTGAAATTTCTGAAGCTCTGAACTCCGGTGCCCCTCATAATCAACACATGGTTTTGGGATGTTAAACCCCAGATATTATAACATGCAAAAATCATGCGCTCGAAGACCATATCTTCTATGCAGTGTGAACCTAGCTGGAAGGCACACACTAAATTGCGTGAACAGTTCAATTCATGCTGTCTGAAAATTAATGAACCAGAACTTGAACAACGTCACTACAATTCAGATCTATTTATTGTGCAACATTTACAAATGCCATGAACGTGTATTTTCTCCACTGTGCTTTTCAAACTCGAAGGTGCATAAGCTGTCGCATGCAGTGGTTCATTGTCGAGATGAGTATAGGACAACGAACGCCTCGGGCACACCCAATAACGTAGCCATGAGCGAAACTTGGTGAAAATGGGATGCCAAGTGATTGCATTTGACCAACCTGTCAGGCGAACAGGTAACAGAAATTTACCAGTGAAACAGACACGGGCTCCATCTACTCTTACCAGCAGCAAACATATTATTTTCAACGCTTGGCAGCGCTGATCTCAGTCTAAGTGAGCCGAGGCTACACGTCGAAGCATTTGAGTTAAAGGTGCTGACAGCTGTGCATATACTCAGCACAGGAATCTTCTCCTATCTGTATGCAATTCAATAATATGAACCTAGGCGACTCTTGAACAACAGTAGCATATAGCAGTCACCTGAGGAGCTCACGATGATCACAGTTGGCCCACTGGTACTCATCACTCTCCACAAGCTTGAAGAACTGGCCTCTCTTGCTACAGACACAGAGAGAAATGAGAAGGGACACACAGTTATAAGATATGACTTTAGCTTTTTTCAGTGAAATAACTCTGTACACATATACCGTATTTACTCGATTGTACCGCGCCCTCGATTGTAACGCGCACCCGATTTCCACCGCGAAAAAAAAAAAAAAAAACGTAAGACATTGATTGCAACGCGCACCCATTTTTTCTCGCTGGCCCGCATGATCAGACCACTCGAAAAAACGACTCCTTTCGGGAGCGTCTTCCATTTAAATTTGAGGTACGGGCGAAGCTTGTGCCCATCTGACGTGTAACAGAGCATTGCCGTCACTGTAGTTTTACCGTGGACCGATGTCAGCACGTGAACTTGCTTCGCCCCCTTCTTCTCGACGGTTGTGGTGCCAGGCATGTCGAAGTAAAGAGGCGTCTCATCGGCATTCCCGATTTGCCCAAGCAGGTAGTCGTTGTTGCGCCGCAAGTTTAGGACGAACCTCTGAAAACTGTGAAGCTTTTCATCGTACTCCTCCGCAAAACTTTTCGCATATGCATGTTCCCCTTCGGAGGGAAAAGCCTTTCCTCTTCATAAAGTTAGTTAGCCAGCACCTGCTCACTTTAAACTGGCTCCGCATTAGACATTTTTCTAAGACTAATTGCAAAGCCCGCACTTGGAGCAGTTCTGCCGTCACGGGCCGCTGTGCTGCTCGCTGCCAAAGCACATACTCGCCGAGCAGCTCTTTAATTTGCGGAAACCGACCCTGCTGTGGTCCACTGAAGTCTTTGCGTAAAGCTTTGCTGCCGAAAATCTTCTGCTTTTGTTTCTGCCGGTCCCGCACGCACGTTTCGGGAACTCCGAACGAACGCGATGCGGCCCGATTTCCGTCCGTTTCTGCACACGCGATGACTTTTCTTTTAAAAGCGGCATCGTGGTGCACTCGAGTTTTTGGAGTCGGCCATTCCACGCCATCGATGCTAATGCACTACTAGATGACGAACTCCTCAGCACACGTACGAAGTGCCGCACATGAGAAACACATAGGCAGAAAAGGACGACGCGCCATGCCGACGCACATAGGGGGCGGCCATTTTAGATTTGCCGATGGCAATAGATTGGCCGTAATTTTTTTGTTCGTACTCGATACTAGCGCGCATGCGATTTATGAACTCACTTAACCGGAAAAAAGGTGCGCGTTAGATTCGAGTAATTACGGTATGTAATAAGGTCTCTAGAAATCTATTTGGTAGAGAAAATATCATGAAAGGACAGCCTGCCTTTACTTGAAAGTAACACAAAGTCACATAGGCTCCTCAAACAGAATGTTCAATAATTGAAAAATTATTTAAACTAGCTTAAGTAACAAATCCGTCGTGACTGTTTCTTTTTGTCTTTTTGGAACTAAAATAAAGGCAACTAGGAAGTAAGGGAAGAATGAATATGTCAATCGCTTAAAGCCTTCAGGCCAAGCTTTAATCTAAGCCTTCTAGAGAAAACTAGCCTATACCCATATGTTAGCACAAGATGTCAGAATTTAGCTAGTTTTGCATAATTGATTAGGTGAATCAGCATTAAATACACAAACATACAGGAAAGGAGAGACGAACACAGGTGTGCTTGCCTGCCTTTTCTTTATGAGTGCACTTTTTCTAAGAACTAATCCCCATAGTTACTTTCCACTAATTCTAGTTTCTTTGTCTCTATTACCATTTTTCCACTCAGAACCATGCACCAACTCGGCCGACAATCTAACCTCATAATCCCTCAGTTACTGCTATCACCCCGCTTAGCTCATTTCATACTGAAACTACCTCAAAAAGTATGGTGCTGCAAAGTTTTATTCTTGAGGCAGTGTCATTTTTTCAATGAAGGTTTTTAAACCTGCAAATCTTCTGCCAATTTTTTTATTAACTTTAGTTGTAGTTTATAACTGAGGGTCCTATTTTCAGCATTTATATCCTGGGACCCTCATCTGTATATATGAATATTTTGTAACTGATGCTTAAGTAACCAACAAACTGAAACTAAAATAAACAGCAATAACAAACACCATTGAATGGATGTAATCTTTCTCTTCAGCGCGTGTAATGCAGAACTATAGGTTTGCTATAACATCCCGTGATTGTCTCCAAGTCGAAGAGGGCCGGTGTATGACATCATTTATTGTATCCGCAGCGCCATTTGTTATTACCATTACATCAGTGGTTATGGGTGTGTCGGGGACCTCTTGTAGACTGCTAGAAGTGATGGGGGACCCTTTGCAGCGGAAGGGAAGGAGAGGAAGTACGTAGGTGTAACAATGTTGGCTCAAATGCAGCGCCCACCCGTGGCGCTGATAGTTGCATTGAGCTGTGCAAGCCTGGCACAGCAGGGGGTGGCCGTTTTGGAAACAATAAACGACAGTTCGTTCTGGGCAAATGGCTCAACATGTTCTTATGTTCTCCACGGGCCTGATGGCCTACTGTTCACGGTAGTCACTACCGCCTGGCCATCAGTTAATCTACACACGTACCAACTGGCGACGAGAATGAAAGGAAGTTTCATGTAAGTCTTCATTCCATCACCGCTCTGCCATCTGTTCACCATGCCAAGTTTCGGCAACCTCGAGCCGTTCGAGGGGGGAGAGACGATTGGCCCTGTTACGTGAATCGGCTCCAAGCATTTTTCCTGGCAAATGATGTCGCCCCAGACAAGTGTACTGCCGTGTTCATCAGCTGCTGTGGGCAGAAAACGTTAGCTTTGCTCCGCGATTTGGTCAAGCCCGCCAAGCCCAGTGACAAGACGCTGGACGAGATTCTTCAAGTTCTTGGAAGCCATTATTGTCCGAAGCCCTCTGCCCTCGTGCAGCGTTTTCATTTCAACTCGCGTGTTCGCGTGGAGGGGGAATCAGTCAGCCATTTCATCACAGCCCTAAAATGCCTGTCTGAGCACTGCAGCTTCGAGGCTGAACTCGAAAATATGCTCCGCGACTGCGTCATATGTGGCACAAACAACGTGGATGTCCAGACAAGACTTCTGGAAAAACCGGACCTCATCTTCGACGCCGCCGTGCAGACCGCCCTGGCAATAGAAGCAGCAAAAAAGGACGCAGGTGAGATAGCGCAAGCAAACACAAGCAGCGCTTTCTCGACTCACCGTGTCTCGTCAGGTTCTGGGGGCGTCACCTGCTACTGCTGCGGGGACGGACATCTTGCATCAAAATGCAAGCATGTGAAGACAATCTGCAATTACTGCCACAAACGAGGTCATTTGACGAAGGTGTGCGATTAGAGACGAAGGAACAGCCAAGCCCAAAGCAACAGCGCTACCAAGACACGTTCGTTCTCGGCTTGCAGTTCACCGTCGTCAAGTAACCGTCATCGTGTTAATGCTGTACGCAAGCAGGACGCCGCTACCACTTCATCTTACGAAGTTTTTGACATGTGGCCAGTCGACTACACCACGCCGCCTCCGCCTTTCACCGTCACTGTTGACGTTTGCAACAAGCCGCTCCGCATAGAAGTAGACACGGGGGCAAGTGTCTCTGTCATGGCCAAGTCGCGTCTTCTTCAGCTTTTGCCTTCGGTTCCTGTGCAGCCGTCGCAAGTGCTTCTGCGAAGATATTCCAGGGAACTAAAAAAGGTTCAGGGCAAAGCTGACGTCGGTGTGAAGTTTCATGGCAGGGAGGCCGACCTACCTATTTTTCTGACCGGAGACAGATCGCCCACTCTTCTTGGACGCAACTGGATGCGTGAGCTGGGCCTCAACGTCTCTGACGTTGAAGTGAACATCCACGCACTTTCCGACGTCAAACACCTAATCCAAGACTACGCCGAAGTGTTTTAAGAAGGCCTGGGTACATTCAAGGGTGCTAAAGCTTCTCTACATGTTCCTTCAGATGCTCCGCCTCGGTTCTTCAAGCCACGTCCACTACCGTACACTTTGACAGATGGAGTAACTCAAGAAATCCATAGACTAAGAAGAGATTCCATTCTTGTTCCAGTCAAGACAGCAAAGTGGGCTGAACCTATTGTTCCTGTGACAAAAAGGGATGGACACATCAGAATCTGTGGAGACTTTGGTGTTACCATAAATCCAGTGGCAACAGTGGAGCAGTACCCCATTCCAAGGATCGAGGACCTGTGGACTGTGCTTGCTGGAGGTGAGAAATTCACAAAATCAGATTTGCGAGATGCCTACCAGCAAGTTGTCCTTGTCGAGGCCTCAAGGGAGTACGTCACTATTTAGACGAATATGGGGTAATTTCAGTACACCCGGTTGCCTTTTGACGTCTCATCTGCTCCTGCCATATTTCAGCGCGAGATGGCGAACTTGTTCAGGGGACCGCCCCATGTAGCAGTCTATTTTGACGACATTCTTGTGACTGGCGCAAATGATGCTGAGCACATTCGCAACTTTTGTGCTGTGCTTAGCAAGCTTCAGGAATCTGGCCTCAAGCTGAAACTTGAAAAATGCCGTTTCTTCGTGCCACAAGTTGAGTATCTCGGGCACATCATCAGCAAGGAAGGCCTTTCCCCGAATGTTGACAAGGTAGCAGCCATTCTGCATGCACCTGTGCCTCAGGATGTCAGGGAACTTCAGAGTTTCTTGGGACTTGTAAACTTCTACAGGCACTTCTTACCCAATCTTTCGCCACTCCTTCGTCCACTGCACTTGCTTCTGTGTGAGGAGAAGAAGTGGGAGTGGGGACATGAAAAACAAGATGCATTCAATGCCTGCAAGCACTTGGTAACATCAGCTCCAGTTCTTGTGATTTTCAACCCTGCCAGGCCTGTTTGCCTCAGCTGTGATGCATCGCCTTATGGTATAGGTGCAGTTCTGGCGCACAAAGATGCTGATGGCGGGGAACATCCCATTGCTTTTGCCTCGAGGAGCTTGTCAAAAGCAGAACAAAACTACAGTCAACTCGACAAGGAGGCACTGGCTTTAGTGTTTGGTGTGGATCGGTTCCACCAGTACTTGTGGGGCATCTCATTCGAAGCACACACTCACCACAAGCCACTTCTTGGACTGCTGGGTGCCAACATGCCCATTCCCGTGCAAGCTTCGCCTCGAGTGGTCAGGTAGGCTCTGAAGCTTTCTGCTTACAAGTACGAACTTGTATACAAGCCTGGCAAAGAGCTCGGCCACGCTGATGCTCTTAGTAGACTGCCTCTCCCAACTGACACTACTGCATTAACACGACCAGCTGAAATCTTCTTGCCAGAGAAGGCATATCCGAGACTCCTTTCACCAGGTGTTGTGGCCCAAGCCACCTGAAATTACCCAGTTCTGGGCCATGTTGTTCTTGCTGTTCTGAAAGGAGAAAGCCTCCCAGTAGGACCAGAGTGGAACCCTTTCAATACCTGGAGCTCAGAACTCAGTCTCCATGAGGGTTGCCTACTCTGGGGATTAAGAGTAGAGATCCCAAAGTCATTGCAGGCCCAAGTTCTGGGTGTTCTTCATGCCAGCCACACTTGGTGAGCATTGACAATGACATTGCCAACAGCCTGAAGAGCTGCGCTACGTGCCAGACTCAACATCGAGCTGCACAGCCGGTTCAGCAGACGCCATGGCCTTTTCCAAAGCGACCCTGGTCAAGGCTTCACATTGATTTTGGGGGACCATTCCTAGGTCACACATTCTTGGTTATTGTGGATGCGTTCTCAAAGTAGATAGAAGTCTTTCCTGTGTCTTCAACATCTACAGAAGCTACTATTTCTGCATTGAGAATTGCATTCGCCCAGCATGGCCTGCCTGATGTCATAGTTTCCGACAACGGTCCTGCCTTCACCAGTGCCCAGTACCTTGAGTTCTTAACTCGAAATGGAATACACCGCATGCTTGTACCGCCGTATCACCCTGCCTCAAATGGTGCAGCAGAACGAGTTATACAAACTGTAAAGAACAAACTCAAGAAGTCTGGTTCTGGGAACTTCCAAACGCAGATCTCCAGGTATCTATTCCACTATAGGACCACACCACATGAAGTGACAGGTCGGCCACCGTGTGAACTCTTGACAGGAAGAATGTTCAAGACTCCGTTGGATGTCCTCGGGCCAAGCCTGCGGGCATCTGTATTCCTAAAACAACTCAAGCAGAGGTTGCATGCTGACAGAGGGGCCCGGCAGGCTCCATCACTGCAGCCAGGTGATGATGTGTACGCGCGAAATTTTCGCAGGGGTACACCCTGGGTGCCTGCCAGTGTCGTGGACGACGTCACTCCGTCATCAGCCAGTGTCTGTTTGGAGATGGCACCTTGGGAAACCGACACAATGACCACTTGCGCCTTGTGCAGACAGAAGCATTGGCCTCTCCTGAAACTGCTATCACTGCAGCTCCACCACAGTTGGAGCCGCCGCTTCTTCATGCGCCAGCTGTTCAAGAAGTGCCTCATCAGGAACAGCTACCTGGAACTAGCTTCTCTGGGAGTAGCTCTGCCACGGAGAGCGACGGGACTGCGCTCAACAGTGGTGTGCATATGAACAATGACTCTGTCGTGCCTACGCCTAGCACGCCGAAGTTGCGACGTGGCACAAGAACTAGGAAACCGGTGAATAGGTACTCCCCATAGCCTTCCTCTTAAGAGGCGAGGAGTGTAACAATGTTGGCTCAAATGCAGCGCGCCCACGCGTCGCTGATAGTTGTGTTGAGCTGTGCAAGCCTGGCACAGCAGGGGGTGGCCATTTTGGAACAAATAAACGACAGTTCGTTCCCGGCAAAGGGCTCAACATGTTTTTATGTTCTTTACGAGCCTGATGGCCTACTGTTCATGGTAGTCACTACCGCCTGGCCATCAGTTAATCTACACATGTATCAGTAGATAAGTTAACACAACTGGAGCGTGAAACAGGTGCCTTTTATAGCTACCAAAAAAATTAAGCAAAGGTGCCATATCACTTCATTTTGAACAGTTGATCAATACGTCGCACAGTCGCGCTTAAACAGAGTTGCATATCTGCAGGCACATTCAACCTGTTTCGGCATTTATACTGAGTCACGAAGAGACTAAACTCCCCAAAAAATGTAAAAAAAAAAGCGGTTGAGTGTTTCGTGGATCATAGAAGCGGCTTCGCGGACCCCCGTTTGAGAACCACTACATTGCATCATAATAACAACTGAATGTTTTCCCGGCTGATAGTAAACTGAATGGGGAGAGGAGAATTTTAACTAGGTGAGCTAAAGATAACACTGAGAAGCCTCTCTTACCACACATTAATAAAATATAGGTGAAGATTGTTTTCTTCCATGTTTTCACCAGCAAGACTGCAGGTTTTCTACAATGCAATTGTCGACACCATATTCCATCTCCACAGCTGGGGTGTGCAGTTGTAGCATACTAAGTGACCGTATTTACACCAGATTTTTGTGAGTATCCTAACAAAAAGAGGCCTGCCATTGTCTACAGTGCTTGTTTTTGTTGTTGAGGGTGAATGCTTTTAAATATGTAGTATTTCATAACACATAAAACATTTTTGCACTGGTTTCTAGCAAAAAGTGCTGTACAATGTCAAAGGCACACAGCATGTTTCACTTGCTTGTGTGCAAAACACTGATAGCTGATAGGGGATCACTGAGAAAGCAAAATCAGAGGTTCTACTTGACAATGTTCATTCCTTTCTTGTTATTTCTTGAGTCACCAAGTGTGCCGCCTATTGCCCAAGCTGTAAAGGGTGCAACAGGAAATATTTCTTCCTACACCAAGTCAACAAAGAATTTTGAGCGAGCTAGGTGAAATACAAGGCCTTCATAGGCCTTGTATTTGGAAAGGTAGAAACCTTATAGGAAAGGTAGGAAAGGTAGGAACCTTGTATTTGGAAAGGTAGGAACATGGAAAGGTAGGACCCTTTCCTTAGTTCTGGTGACTGACAAATGCTCCAACAACTGAGGTAACATTGCATAAATTGTCATTTTGTTGCATACAAACCGAATAAATGCTTCTATGTGCATTGTTTCTGATTTTAATGTGGCCTCACTTTATTGTCTTTTAGTATAAAAGCAATGGTGCACCAGTAACAAAAGAGTTTTATGGATTCTATTAGTTAAGGCATACTTCTGATAAGATGATATACTCACAATCCCTTTGAATTTGTCTCGGCAGGAATCTACTGTACTGAAATGGATGCTTACGGTGAAAATTTTACTCAATTGATCTGCCATAATCAGCACTGCCGTGCAAGTATATAATACATATAATACATAAACATATTACCAGAAGCCAGCAGTCAAAAAGCAAAGGCTTGGTTCAGCCCTTTTTTCTTTTTTAAACTGAAGGATGCATTTGATGTGTACTCTGCTACATAGTCAAAATTTGAGTAAGGAGCTTACACTGCAGTCTTGACTTTCTCATTATTAAACTTAGGAGAAAAAAAATTAAGAGAAGGCAGCCAATAAAGCAAAGCATCCACATGAAAGTCAGAGAAAAAATGTTTTCGTGTTATGTTTGAGCTAATTATTGAAAAATTACCAATGGGGCCAGGAACATGCACTGGTGATATTCAAGAACAAGCAATGGTGATAGTCTCACCGGAAGTAGACGGCAAGGTCAGTGGCAAGAATGGCCTCTTCTACAATCCGTATGATGGTGGTGTATTCCTCTGGGGAAACATGGCTTAGAATCTGGTTGCCCTGCAAGAAAAGCAGATGCAACTTAAACAAATAAATGAAATAACCTGGAGTCTTCTTTTAAATTGTCGACGGACGAAATGACAAGGTTTGGTTATATACACTGAAGTTGTAAGGCATTGTCTATGAAGCATCTTATGAAAATCATTTTTAAGATCACTAGATTACTAATAAAAAGGTTAGAAGAACTTAAACTGCCCTTTACCATGCCCCTTTAAGAAGAGTATCCCTGCCAGCACTTGCCCCCTTTACATAGGCCAGCGTTCGCAAGCAGTATTCCTTCCCTGCATTCTCTCAAATACAGCAATGGACGAGGCATGGCAGGTTAATGCAATGAGCACTGCTTCCTTTTCTTATCCATATTGGATTATCAACTTAATTCACATGGCATGACCAGTGAAACTTCTAGCCGTGCATATGTTGCTTCAAACATTCTAGTGCTTGACCTTAATTATCACTCAAATCATGGCTTCCTTAAGAGAAAGCGCACCCGGTCTTATATTGAACATTCTGACTGTATTTTTCTCGTGCTGCCACCTTATGTTTCATTGACACAAACAAGTGTCTGATTGTGATCTATGCCCCAAGTAATCGCAGATATCCGCTGGCTGTCCTTTATGAATACAAATGTCCGGCCGTATAGATATCCAACACGGACAGCCAATCAACGTACTGTAAAAATTCATGTCCCGTGGGGCTGTTTTCAAGACGTACGAACCGGATGTCCGACCAGACATGAAGTTTTGAACATTGACTGGCTGTACATACAAGGACATGCTAAGAATATGCGTATTTGCTCATCAATTATTGTAAAATTAGAATGTGAAAATATATATAGATGTGCCGAATCCCGGGTGACAATCTTGTAAAATTTCATTAAAAATGCTACTACAAAATTCATTCAAACTTCGGCACATGCATTTCATCCCAGGATGCCAAATAATTTTGCTTCATGAGGCCAAACAATCTGGTTGATTCAATATGTGTATCGTATGGTATAAGAAATAATGTATTTAGTGTTATCGTATGTGAAATGACAAAATGCGGGTCGAGCGTGTCATAGCAGTCATCATGAAGATAAACTTTCATGCGCCAGCCTAGACACTTCTCAACAAGCGGTGCACCGCAGTTGCTCAGATTCCTCGAACGTACGCGTCATACTAGCCATGCCCCTCTAGATGTGTTGGGAGCAAACATGCACCATTGTGCCTATTGTCCCAAAACCTGCTTGACCAGCGGCGCGCAGAGGGAAGGAGCGTGGGAAAGGAGGGTGTTTGTGTCATGTCGCACATATGTATGCTGAGCCGGTCTCCGAGCGACAGAAGGCAGATTTCTTTTTCAAGTGCGCCCGTGTGGACATCAGCATCAAGATGTGAAGTTGCGAAGAACGACTCTTCTAGAAGAAACACCGAAACCTGGCCCGAGACCATTTTCCGCAGAGATTACCACGGCAAGCAGCCAAACCCCGCTCACTCGGACAGCACAGATAAGGCCACGTGTTACACATCTGTTTTTTACGTCTCTGATTGGACAGTTATGTATTATTATTATGCGTTAACTATTGCCCATCATTTGTATAAGCCCTGCTAATATGTGGCATGTTTCCAGTTCTTCATTTGCTTGAATATTCCTTGCTAATAACCAATTTAGGATGAGCACGTGGTCAGTGCCTCTGCACCTTTTTTAGAAGCATGTGCTACGGCCATTAGTTTTTCTCCTGTGCTTGTCCATATGTACGTCCTGCGGTTACTAGAATAACATTGCCATAAACACGCTCGAGTTGGGTTTGTTGCTAATAATTTAATAAACCCGCAAAGAAGCAGTTGCTGCTTCCTAAGAAGTCATTGAACTTGAAGGCAGAAGGGCATTGAACACTGAAATCTTGTAAGACTACGTACACACTTTCACAATCGCGGCTGTGGACTGAGTTATGTGCTTCTTAGCCTTGATATATGTTGACAATAAAGGTTCGATTGGTCTTAAAGGCATGCTTGGACTCAATTTTATTTTTGAGAATTCATTTGCAGCAGATAAGCTCCCTTGGAAAAAAGACTGGTCTTTGAGGCTGTGTGGGTACGTTGTTCATATGAAAGGTTTTTCGTGATTTTGTACTAGCTATATAAACACAAATACATATATATATATATATATATATATATATATATATATATATATATATATATATATATATAGAGAGAAAGAGAGAGAGAGAGAGAGAGAAAGAGAGAGAGAGAGAATATATATATATTCTCGAAGGGCCTGTCTATGTCCATGTTTACTGTCCTAGAGGGATGTCGAGCAATCGTACAAACTTTTAACCTTTGTTCATCCGTTGTACCTCCATCGTATGTACAGTGTACATTCATGGATATCTGATGAATGTCCAGAATATCCGAAATGTACCTCCCGTTGTATGCCTACCGGATATCTCTGGTTACTTCGGGTACTATGCTTTTTCATATGCAAGACCCCAGTTTTGAGGTGGTGCGTTGAAACATGCTCTCACCAACACTCCACCTTGACTTTAGAAGGCACCACTGCACTTCAACTAAAGTGTTATTATTGCTTTTTGGCTGTTTCTGAATCAAGGCTTCATAATAAGGCACTCTAATTGAACTTTCATTAATGCACTTGATCACTAAAGACAGCTCCTTAATCACAGGAGAGTTATTGAAGCAATTCAATCACTAAACAACTCTATAGCCAAGGAAGAGCTTAACAACATATTTACGAACATAGAAGCTAGTTTTTTTTTTTTGCTTAGACTAATGTACGATGCATATATGTGGTGCATGTCGCTATAAAAGGCTTTAAACAAACATCACAGGCAGCTGCTCATTGTTGGAACCAATACAGTAGACTCTCGATAATTCAAACTGATAATTTATACTTTCAGTTAATTCAAACAAAATTAAACTTTTTGGCTGGCTCTCTACTCTTTTAGTGTATTTAAAAGCCTCTTCATTCAAAAACTCCATCATTCGGTTAATTTATACTTTTTGCAGGTTCACACCAGAAAATATCTGCTGCTTTACCACTACCATTTAAAAATTTGTGTGCTTAAATAATCCTAACAGTCTAAAAATTAAAAATAAGCACCTAAGAACTTCAAGAAAAAAGGCTTTGCAAGTAAACGAATGTTTGAAATGAAGCACACAAATGGTGAATCGTGAGGCTTCTCAACTAGTATAGAGAGCTTTGTGCTGAAAGCACATATCTACAGCAATGAATCAGTTGGCAATTCACGATTTCTTCAAAAGGTCTGATAAGTTGCAAATGGCCAACGAACTTGTAGGCTTTACACCCCTGCTTTTTGTTTATTCCTAATCATAATCATAATGTGTCGTGTCACCTCACCCAGAGTCATCTATCTAAGAACTTCTGATAAATCAAACTTCTTGATAATTCAAACTAAATTCAGAGGTGAATGTAAACATTCGACAGAAGTCTGTCTGGTTGGGTATGAAATTGGGCGATGATTTAGACTTCAACCAAAAGTTTTGAAGAAAACCGACGTTTCGAAACCGACGTGGTTCCTTCCTTAGGGGTGACTGCGGAGGCTACGTAGCAGCAGCATCTTCAAAGCACTCGGGGGGTGAATAATGCCCCCCCCCCCCCCACTGCTACGTAGCCTCCGCAGTCACCCCTGAGGAAGGAACAAAGTCGGTTGCGAAACGTTGAGTTTTTTCAAAACTTTTGGTTGGAGTCTAAATCCTCTCCCTGAATTCAGAGGTCCCTTCGAGTTTGAATTAATAAGTCAACTGTACGTATACATCAAATGAGCAGAACAATGGTATTTGTGTGCATACAACATTTGAAAAGGCTACCTTTTTTTTTCATGACCAGCCAATGGTCTCAACATGCATCAAAAGAGTGATTCGGTATGCATTTACTTAGTTATGGCTTGAAGAGCATGGGCCCAAATTCACATGCTTCGCACAAACCTGGCTGTTAAGTATCATGACACACTGGTCAAAGTGATGGTGCTCCATCGTCGATGTGGAATACAGCTGTGCCAATGGAGATGATGACCTGAAATAAAAAATAAACCGTAATAACACTCAGCGTGGCCTATAAATAAGGCTCCATCTTTTCTGAGTTTATTTTTATCAAAATTCAATGGGTGCTTTTCAAGGTTTACATTTATAAAAAACATTTGGTGTGTATGAAGTTAATATCTCGTTAAGCCTCCATACTACATCCAAAATTCAGTGTTTAATTTTGCATTATAAGTTGTTGCAATGATGTCTTATTGTTTCTAATTTTACATTTCCAATGAAAATGTGTTGCATTGTTCCTGATAATAATTTTTCCATCCTTTCATATTTTCTCAATTCTTGTTCATTTACCCTGTTAAGGCTGTTGATGTACAGTGCTCTAAACTTTCTAAAGTGTACTTTTGGAGGAATGCTCCTGAGCTCTTTCTCCTAACCTCCCTCATTTTGATGAAAAATAAAATACCTATTATTATTATCCTCAACACTCCTAAATCTCAGATAAAATGATACAGTAAAAGCTCATTTATTCAGACCTCGTTAACTTAGAAATTCTGTTAACCCGGACTCGCGACGCAGTCCCGGCAAAACTGTGTATATTTCAATGGGATCAAATTCAAATGCTCATTAATTTGGAGAGATTTAGCTGCACACCGGTTATCTAGGACAACTCCGCGCAACTCTGGAGTTGCGCATTCTTGGGAGCTTGGAGGCTCAAGCACTGCTTGCCGTAACCCACGGCGGAACCAGAATTTCCGAGAAACCGAAACCGAACGACTGCAGCAGAATACCCAGCGGAAGCGTTCGAGCCACTGGGGCATCCAGTGCCTACTAATAGCTGCTTGCTACACCTACTGGTGTACTTCGCGACTTGGTTGACGTGGTTCTTTCTGTTGTGACTTCGCGTGTTGTGGCTGTGTGTGTGCGCGTTGCCCCCACCAGCGCGCTTCATACCGATGGCGACCGTCACAAGAATTAAGCGACCACAGTAGCCAGCAAATGATCCTGAAAGAAAAGTGATGATATTGAAAGACTGGAACGCAGGTGTTTCTCGACAAGAGATAATGTTACGAGAAGCACCTTAAGCAACTATGTGAAAAATGAAGCGAAAATTTCAGAACCATTTTACAGCGCGAAATTCGTCATAAAAGGAAAACAACTAAGGACAGCAGCACACCGAAAGCTGGAAGATGGACTGCTGCGGTGAATAAGAGACATGTGAAATAGCCAGCTTTCCTTGAGTGAACCGTTGATCTATCAGCAAGCTCAAAGGTACGCACTGAAAATGAACATCGAATCTTTCAGTGCGTCAGGGCACTTGGTTGCCCACTTTAGGGAAAGGCACGGGTTCGTTTTTCGAAACGCATGCGGGAAAAAAGTAGCAGTGGATGAATGGCGTATTGCTGACTGAAAACCAACCGAGCTTCCCCAGTACCTGGCTCGTTATAAACCTGCCAACGCTTCAATGCCGCTGAAACGACTCTCTTTTTCAAAGCCTTGCCGGAAAAATTGATCACGTTCAAGGGCGACCCCTGCATGGAAGAAGGAGGAGCAAAAAAAAAAAGTCACTGCGCTTCTCACTTCAAATATATCGGGCACCGAGCGCCTGCCACTGCTAGTCATCGGGAAGGTACGTAACCTAAGGTGTTTTAAGAACATTCCCTACTTTCCTGTGCAATATCATGCCAATAGAAATGCCTGGATGACCTCAGATATTTGACCTCAATATAAATGCCTGGATGACCTCAGACCACCCCTTCTCTACTAACAAGCACAAGGTTTTACTTCTAGTTGACAACTAGCTCATATCAGAGTGACAGGGCTGGAGCGCATCGAACTTGCATTTCTACCCGCAAACACAGCTGCTCTGCAACCACTGGATCAAGGGGTAATTCAGCACGTAAAAAGCAGGTACTGGAATGCATCCTGTTGTGCAAGGAAGCAGGGAAAAAATATGACCCGACTCTCCTGACCACAATTCAACAGCAAAAGGCCGCCCGCGATCATTGCAAATTTTTTTGGCCCAGCGGCTCCACCCTGACGACTCGGACATTCCTCCAGAGGCCGCTCCAGAGGACACCTGCGAGCCCACTGGAAATATGGATGGCGAGGTGAATGACACGTGCTTTGACTCTCTCTTTTCTAGTGGCATCCAGATTTTAGACTACGTCACTATAGACTATTATGTTGCCATCGCTGGTCCGTTGACTGACGATGATATGTTATCAGAGTGTTGGAAGAGTACTAAAATCACAGTTACGGTGATGATGGTCAAGATGAGCCACCATTGTGACGATGCTGCACCATGCAAGAGGCCTATGAAGCCCTCGCTCTCCTCGAGGAGTTCTGCGTTTGTTCTCGCGACAGTGAATATGCGCACCACCACCTGATGGGATTAAATTAAATCGTTCTGTCATTAATTCCGACAGCGAGGCAGACAGAAATAACCCACTTTTTCAAAAAAATCTAGGTTTGTCTGTGCCATGTACGTTTTTCTTTCGTTTTCATGGTCTGTTCGATAATTCGGAGTTCAGTTAACTCAGACATTTTTTTCATACCCATGAGATACGAGTTAACGAGCTTTAACTGTGTCTGCAAATGAAAACATGCGAATACTGTAAGTTTATTTTAGATGTCTCAAAGGCTTGACAGCACAAACATGCCCCGCCACAATGGTCTAGTGCCTAAGGTACTCGGCTGCTGGCCCGCAGGTCGCGGGATCAAATCCCGGCTGTGGCGGCTGCATTTCCGATGGGGGCGAAAATGTTGTAGGCCCGAGTACTCAGATTTGGGTGCACGTTAAAAAACACCAAGTGGTCGAAATTTCCAGAGCCCTCCACTACAGTGTCTCTCATGTTAAACCCCACAAATCAATCACAGTACAAACACACATATATACAAGCACAAATACTTCAATTTAAAAACCCCATTGTTTGTTCATATTAAAACCTTAAAGTATACCCAGCAAGGTTGACGCTGTTGACAGAGGTAAGCTCCTTTCGATTGATGATTGTCAGCTTTGAAAATGCCCATTTAAAGGGACACTAAAGTCAAATGAAAATTTACGTCAGAGCGAAAGCTCAATGTATGACAACTAAAACGACAATATTATCAACAGAGTGCCCTACTTTCCGAGAAATTAGGGTAAATGCACAAGAATAGATGTGCTACAGTAGGACATTCTCAAATTGATCTCAATGACGTCAGATTAACTGCATACGATTAATTACTAGTAATTGATCTAGCTGCACTAAATAAAAAACTAAATAAAGAGATGCAATAAAATATAGCTTGTTTATTTCTGTTTGATTCATGCAAGAAAGAACCGCCGGACGTTACTATGGGGAATGGTGTAAGTGATTCGAAAATTCAATTTTCGCATAGCTAAACTGGACAGGTCATGCCATCTAGTGGGGCCCAGTTGAACCAAAACATGTCTGCCATCTCGGAGCCAATGGCAGGAAATCCATCAATGGCCAATGTTGCTAGTGTGCCTCTCGCTGCTTTTGTTCTGCTGCTACTAGTGTTGGCAGCCACACAGTAAACCCGGGCAATGTTGTGCGTGGAAACAGTGGCGTGACATGGTCTGCTTCTTGAGGCGGGTTATTTGAAGTGCGCCAATCCAATGTGGACCACTAAAATGTGATTTTATCTGAAAATAAGCTCTTCCTTGGCACAAAAGTAACACTACAAGGCTTCTGGACCGCTATTTCAACAATAAACGTCGACTTGATAGTTGCCTTTGATGTTCCTTTAGGTCAGAACTTTTCAGATAAGTATGAATTGTCAAAATATTTACTCACGAGTGTTTACTGGATTTTTTATTTATGTGAAAGCATGAAGCCCTACCAATAAAACAGCCGAGTTTCTTTTATATGCAGCACATTTCATAACAAAGCCTGTGCGCCAAGATACACATATAGCTTCTTTGATTTCAAAGTTTATTTGTGTAACAAAAACAGTAGTACTAATAATAAAATCCCCAGGATCAGTCATAAGAGTCATACATAGGCAACAATTTACATGCTTTCATAGTGTTAGAATTGGGCTTATTAGTTTAAAATATCTTTGTCTGGATGATGCCAAGTCAGAAAAGGATATCATTAAAGGGACACTCACCAGGCCCCACAACGAATTTTAGTTAGACCGTGGAAGTTGTTGGGTGTCGAATTAGGAACATTTTGCCATGAAAATCTTTTGAATCGGTTTGTTACGGGCTGAAAAAACTGTTTTTATGAAGTAGCGCGAAACGAGGATGAGAGGAGGCGAGTTTGAAACCCTTGCCGCTCCTTCACGTAGCCTACGCAAGCCAAATCTCTTCCCTACCCTCTTCGCATCCAAACAAGAGGTCACGTACGCATGACGTGCCCAAACAAGCCCAACCCCCGTGCACACGAGCGCCATTTTTTTTGTATGTTTACCAGTGTTGTTTTGAAGTCTACTGCCTGTTTCTGCAGGATGGTTTGGACACGCTGGCTTAAACGCGGTAGAATAGATGAACACAATGAGTGCGTGAACGCGTAGGAGCGTTCCATGGCTGTTGTTTGCTCGATGAGCTGACCGCAGAACCACAGGGACAAGAACACACGTGAAACACCGACACATTAGCGCCACATCTCGTGGCAATTCACGGGGCGAAAAGGGAAAAAAAAACGCTCACATTCCCTTATTGCATCTCATTACTTACTTCGAGATTTATTAATCTCTTCAAGCAACAAATACATAAACTATGCATGTCGTGTTAAATATTTTTGCCATGTCACGTGCCTCTGTTGGCAACGTCAGAGCATAGTTGTCTACGTAGAGGACCAACATCACTGCATTGCCGTGTACGTAGGGCCATTCATACAGGCATGTCATTCGCTCATTCTCTGGGCACGCGCCCGCAAAAAGGAGGGGGAGTAGCGTTTATCTTAAAATTTGACCCATTTTCACAGAACGTAGCATTGCGAATTTTGGCAGACGTGATCGTGAAAGCCTCATTTGTGCATTGTGCTTGTCAGCTCAAAATTGTCAAACCTGGTGAGTGGCCCTTTA